AAACCACTGTAGAAGACCTTCCATTCGAAGGTGATGAACTTTTTAGCTCCACCACGGATGCAATACTTCAAGAGCTTGACAAAAGCATCAAGACATCTCGCAGCTTAGGGGTTACACCTCCTCCTAAACTGCATAAGGGAAAACCATGGTCCAAACAATGGTCAGGTAGACCATCGTCTAAATCGTTCTCTGAGCCACACTGGCAAAGGTCTCCGAGTCATCCGTCCCGTCCCTGTGGTGGACAACCCATTTTTTTGTCTACCTCTCTATCTAGACCCAAAACTGCTAAGAACACTAAGCAGAGCCTTTGACTCGCACCTTCTCTCCCAACTCCCTACATGCTTGTCTCATTACCTGTTGATCTGGGAGTCCATTATGTCGGACCAGTGGATCCTCTCAATAATAAAAATGGGATACCCGATAGAGTTTTCCCTAATCCCTTCCACCACCCAAGTCATCGTCACACCACCTTCAGCAGTCCTCCTAGAAGATGTTCAAAATCTCCTAAACAAGGATGCTATAGAGCCAGTACCATCAGCACAACCTATAATGAGCTTCTACTCTCGTTACTTTATGGTATTGAAGAGGGATGGAGGCCTCCGACCCATTCTGGACCTCAGGAACCTGAACAAAAAGTTCAGGATGACAACGTTGCAGTCCATCCTTCCACTCCTAGATCTAGGGATGTGGATGGTTACGTTAGACCTCAAGGATGCTTACTTCCACGTTTCCATCCATCCTACCCACCGTCGTTTCCTCCGATTTGCAGTAGGCAGGCAATTGGCATTTCCAATTCAATGCCCTCCTGTTCATGGGCATTGTTGGTGGGATTGTCCTAAAATATTCCCCTTTTGGAGAGAAGTCATCAGACAAATCAATGAGATTACTCTGCTGAACTTGCCCATCAGTCCTGATTTGGCTCTTCTTAATATTTTGGATTCGACGGTTGGAACAGGAGCTCTTAAAGAACTCACTTCAATATTATTGGCTACGGCAAGAACAATGATCGCTTCAGTCTGGAAATCAGCTACTTCTCCAGCTATGCAGATCTGGCATAATAAAATATGGGACCAATTTATTCTAGCTAAAATTACAAATGTCATTCAACTATCAGACAGAGATTCATCCTCCGCGTCTTCTCGCTTCGAATCAATTTGGTTCCGTCTACTTCAGTATATGGCGGACAAGAACATACTTCCAACCAACACTTCTTATCTTTCTTGGATACGCTTCTGATCTAAATTGGATTCATAGGGGTGCATGGGTCTCCTATAGTGGACAGAACTAAATGCAATCTGAACTAACTCGCATGTGATGTTTAGTATGAATACAGGTATGTGGTGTTTAGTAAATATACTAGTGATATGAAAGGTTGAATGTATTATTGCAGCATTGAATGTTAACTGGTGTTTGGATGTATCTTACTCACTTCCTGGCTCAATTGTTGTTCACACTGTTTACATGGTTATTTGTATTTGTTCAAATCTTTCAATTAAAAAAAACAAATGAAAAAAAGAAGCTATTGTGCTGTGAAATTTTAACAATCATGGTGAAAGCTATCAGCTGTGGCCACTGAAATATTTCCATCTCTCCATTATAGTGGGAGTATGTACTGCAAAATGCAGTTGTGCCATTCCAGGCTTCATGTTAACGTCATTATATGGTGGCACCATTTTATTTAATGAGCTGAAAAGCAACACAAAATGGAAAACTAAATGAGGATATTTTATTCTAGGTGGCTGAAATAGCTAAATAATTAAAGACTGAGGTGAAAGCCAACTCATAAAAATATTTATTTAAAGACAGGTATCTTTGCTGAGACGAAGATATTAAAGGATTTAATGGTTTCTTGAGATTATATTGATAAATGAACAAAACTGAACTTTTAGCCACAGAGGAGAGGTACCACCTGTATTGTTAGTGGACAGAAGTCTTAGACTTGCAAGTCCAGATGCTGGTGGAGAATCAATGTTGCTACTGCTGAACAACCAATCAGTATGGGGGTGACAGCACAGCTATGCCTGGTGCTCCTTTCCAGAGCTGTGTACTAGTTAGCCCCATGGAAGCTAAGCCCATGCTGTTCCACAGTGCTGTAACTCTCTCTGCTTTCTTTCCTGGTATAAATGTTGAAGCTGCTTTATACTTACCAGACCATTGGTCTGTCAGGGTCAGCCTTGCCTACTCTGATGGGCAGTGGCTTTCTGGATCTTCAAAAGGTGAGCTTTCCCTTATTTCAAGCTTCTTTGGTGGGATTTAAACCCAGGAAGGACTACATGAATGACCTATTCTTATAGTTGCAGCACACGATACATCACAGGTATGGGTGGAATGTGCAGATGTTTGTGCTTCTCCACCAAGCTCTGCAGGGGTCACTTTTTTTTTTGTTCAGTCGCACAATCGAGCCTGACTCTTTGCAACCCCATGAACCACATCACGCCAGGCCCTCCTGTCTTCCGTCGTGCTCTGGGGTTTGCTTAATTTCATGTTCATTGCCTCGATAACACTGTCTAACCATCTCATCCTTTGCCGCCCCCTTCTTCTTTGACCTTCAATCTTTCCCAGCATCAGGGTCTTCTCCAGTGAGTGCTCCCTTCTCATTTGGTGGCCAAAGTATTTGAGCTTCATCTTCAGTATCCGGCCTTCCAGGGAACAGTCAGGGTTGATTTCTTTTAGGATTGACTGATTTGATCTTCTTGCAGTCCAGGGGACTCTCAAGAGTCTTCTCCAGCACCATAATTCAAAAGAATCTATTCTTTGGCGCTCGGCCTTCCTTATAGTCCAACTCTCGCAGCCATACAGTACTACTAGGAATACCATTGCTTTGACCATACGGGCTTTTGTTGGCAGGGTGATGTCTCTACTTTTTATTATGCTGTCAAGGTTTGCCATCACTTTCCTCCCAAGGAGCAGGCGTCTTTTAATTTCATGGCTGCAGTCACCATCTGCAGTGATCTTGGATCCCAGGAACATGAAGTCTGTCACTGCTTCCACGACTTCTCCTTCTATTTGCCAAGGAGTGATGGGGCCGGATGCCATGATCTTAGTTAATTTGATGATGAGTTTCAAGCCAACCTTTGTGCTCTCCTCTTTGACCCTCAGCAAGAGGCCCTTTAGGTCCTCTTCACTTTCTGCCATTAGAGTGATATCGTCTGCATATCTGAGGTTGTTGATGTTTTCCCCAGCAATCTTAATTCCGGCTTCTGAATCATCCAGGCTGGCATTTCACATGATGTACTCTGCATATAAATTAAATAAGCAAGGGGACAATATCCATCCTTGTCGTACTCCTTTTTTTATGCTAAACCAAGGGGTCACTTTAGATAGCTGCATAACCTCAGTCTAAGTATTTTCTCCATCGGGAAACATATACAGTGTAGCTGATTAACAATTAACAATCCTTTTGGACCTCTCAGTATAAATAGCAATAGGATTAGTCTAATGATTTTCAAATCTAGCAGTCAGAGATCCATTAAGTATCATTACTTTTCTGCAGGAACTGATAGGTGTAAGAATAAGGCACGAGAGTCTTTTAAACAGCAACATTAAAGAAATCTATTTCATACAGGAAATTTATTCTTAATTTCTTTAAATGGATATTGCTGGATGTCCTGAGACAATAGAGGATTAAACTGTCTGATAAATGTTTCTTTACCTAGCGAAACATAAAAATAATCTTGACCTTAGTGCTTCCTTGTGGCAGGGAGGTTTTTATGCTTTCATTTTAAACAGTTTTCAGCTTCTTTGAATTTCTCCTTGTGTTCTGCTCTGAAATCTCGTACAAATACCTGCCCTGATCCATAGCTCCTCCTTTTACTGATGGGAAAGAGCTGCCTGGATGGTAACCACCACCACCCCTTAACTGGAGAGATGGCAGGGCACAATGTTTTGTAAATGCTGCCTGCTTGCACAAGCAGAAGGGTCTTCCATTCATGCTACTTTGCAATTTGCCCTCTCTAGCTGCATTCCCCTTGCTGCATCCCATGTTATCTCCAAGGGGCCTTAATCTAATGAAAGCTTTTGGGGAGTGTAATGCTCTACCACAGGAAGAGGGAAGCAGGTGGACATTCATTCTTAATTCTGTTTTGCTGTGTGGGTGGAGCTGCAGACTGGGAATCTTGCTGAATGGAGGATTTAAGGTCCCCTTCCCAGACTAATATGAACGTAGAAGTGGGGGAGGTTCATGCTCAGGAAACTGATTCTTGTTGGATGAAGGGTAGTTAATTTGCCTCCTGTGTTATCATATGTTATTCTGCTTAACCCTACTGTATTGCTCCCGCTCATTTTACATTTTACAGTTCTAGACTTGCTCCCTGCTGTTTCCACAGATGTTAATGTTAAGAAGACTACAGTAACTCTGGTTTTAAATTATATCTGTCTCTAATATGCCTTTTAACATATGGAAATTTAAGTACATTGGGGTCGAAAGTTATCAGACATTACAGTGAAAAATCAAGGGAAAACTGCACTCTGCATTTCAGTTGAAAGTATATCTGCTTAGATTGTATCTTGATGCTCCTTGTATGTTGATGTCTTTGTTTTTTCCATTTCTTTGGGTTGGAGCCAGTGCTCATTTTTTTGCCACTGGAAGGGCTCTCCCATCAGTTGGGAGGAGATTGTAACCAATTATTTTTGCCACTGCAGATCCAACGTCCATACCCACCACTGTTCTTGGGGTTTTCCTGATCCCTAGGAGCAGAATTTTTAGGGGCTCAGTAGGGTGCAGTTGGGGGGGAAGGGGGAAGTTTCTGTTCCATGAAGAGAGCTCTGTTTATGGTACTTTGCATGTTACTCTTTGTTCTTTGTCATCTTTCCCCTTAACTAATCGGCCCAAGGCTACTTGCTGCCCTATAATCTAACTCAGTGGAGCATTTTGTGGTGCTGTTAGCACAATTTTTTTGTGTGTGAATGGAAAAATACATAGCATACAACAGAAAACCAGTGTCTTATGTAACGTGCACAACATTGTTCCTTTATATGTATGTATTCCTTTGTACCCTTAGGTATGGAAGAAACTGCCTCATTCAGTTTGAGGATTTTGCCAATACAAATGCATTCCGCCTCCTGGAGAAATATCGTGGCCAATACTGCACTTTCAATGATGACATTCAAGGTAAGGATATGTACCTGTGGTTCTCCTTAGAGAAAACAAACTGCCAATTGAGTTATCATGTTGTATGTAAAGACAAAAATTATATTCCCCACTAGGCTATCCAACAATGTTTAGAGGGGCCACATGGAAGGGATCATACGATACCATGGGTTTTGAGCATCAGATCTTTGGTTTTATACTAAGCCAATGTCTAGCACTACTGCAGGAGAAACAAGTTAATGCAGCCACAACCCCCCCCCCCCCCCCCCCCCCACACACACTTTCTTCCAACTCACATCTAGCTCAGAAGATGGGCTTGGCATGACCAAACTGGCCATCTGGATTCATACCTTTGTAACATGGAGGCTAGGCTAGGTCTCTCCTCAGTGAACTTGGAGACTCCAGCTGATGCAGAATGCCAACAGTTCAGTTATAATCAGGAGCTATGTATAGCATGCATATAAGCCCCCTTCTTCAGTCACTCCTTTGACTGTCCATCAGTTACTGGGTTCAATTCAAGGTATTGCCCATCACACCCAAAGCCCCCCATAGTCTGGGTCTGTCATATCTGTGGGACTACCTCTCCCCCCCGTGCTCCAGCATGACACCTTCACTCATCTGAATAGGGCCTTCTGCGGGTGCCAACCCGCAAATGGGGAAAATCAACAACTGCCTGTACACATGCACTCTCTATTGTGGTCTTCACCTTGTGGAATGGCCTGCCTGATGAGGTGAGGAAGGCTCCAACCCTCTTGGCTTTCTGCAAACTGTGCAAAGCTGAATTACTCAGGAGGGCTTTTTACATAAGTAAAAGACTATAGTATAATAAAATGTTTCACGAAGATGGTTTGGTAAAGAGAAAGGAACTCTGGACTAGACTACTGTGTATAGTATGTGCTGTCTGTTGCTGTAAGCAGGATCCTGCTATATAATTTCTGTATTGTGTAGCAGGTCATGTTTATTTATTTATTAGACTTATATCCTGCCCTTCCACATGGGCTCAGGGTGGCTAACAAGAGGCAGATGCCATACATAACAATAAAACTAAGTAAAACAATCAAATTACATTTTACAGTTAAAATCAGTGCTCACAACAATATATCAACCAAAACAGGGACTCCAATACAATGTTTCAGAAGGCACTACTGTCTCTTCTTGATCGGTCTTCACTCTGTCCGTGCTCCATTCCCAAGGCCAATTCACATCGCCACACAGTGGTGGTACAGTGATGGTGGCGGCTCCTACTCAAAAGCCTGGTGGAAGAGCTCCGTCTTGCAGGCCCTGCGGAATTGCATAAGGTCCCGCAGGGCCCTGATCTCATCCAGGAGCTTGTTCCACCAGATAGGCGCCGCCACCAAAAAAGGCCTGGCCCCAGGGGTCATTTCGTAGAAAAAGAGGTGCAGGAGCTCATTAGCATAACTCATTAGCATAACTAGTTTGCATATGCCACACCCTCTGACATCACCGGAAGTGTGTCAGAAAGCTCCACTGATTTTGGATTGCTAGCTATTGGGGGGGGGGGGACGGGGCGGATCTGTGGGGTGGGGGAATGTGCAGATCTGTCCTCGCAGAAGAGGGAGAGCTTGTACCTGAATAAAACTTGGTTTTAAAGGTGCCCCTTGGTTTTAAAGGGCCAGGGGGCCGGGGGGGGGGGCTCTGCAACTTAGCCGGCTGCTTCTTGCACCCACTGAGGGCTGCTGGGAGCAGGGGGTGGGGCTTGTTGCATGTGCCTGCCCCCTGGTCTCTTTACTGCTGGAGCTCCACTCCTGTGCGCTCCTACAGGAAATGACCCCTGCCTGGCCCTAGTCGCAGCATATTTAGCATCTCTAGGGGCTGGGACGACCAAAAGATGTTTTGCCCCAGACCGTAGTGCCCTTGGGGGAATGTATGGGGAAAGGCGCGGTCCCTTAGGTAAGCTGGACCCTGGCCATGTAAGCTGGACCTGGCCAAACATAACTAAACGCCTGTTTCTCCCATCACCATAACTTTTAACTATATATTATAATCAAATCATTTCCCTCTATGAACGATGTTAATTTGTTAATGCTTATGCTTTGTCCCAGCTTGGTTGCAGCTCTGTTTTCAAATTTCTGCAAGTCAAGCCTTATTACACTGTTTTTGGAAGCCCCATTCCTATTGTGTTAATTGTCTCAGACTATGTAATCTGCCTTAAATCCCAGTGAGAAAGGCAGACTAAAAGTGGTATAAATAAAAAATAAATGAAATGTGAGTTCAGCAGTTCTGAGAAATGCTATGTAAAAGAAATAAACAAAAAATGCCTGCCTATTCAGTACTTACATTTAGGATAATGCGAATATAATTAAAAGGGGAAAGTATTGGTAGTAATAGCTTTATCTGATCTGCTTGTGTCAGGGTTGCCAGGCGTGATCGTTACACTGGGGGGGAATTTGGGGGGTGGTCCGGGAGTGGGCGGGGATGTCCCTGACACAATGACATTGTGCAGAAATGATGCCATAGCGTCAGTGTCAGGGGGTGACGCTCTGCTTTTTGGGCAAGCTTTATTGTTAAAATTGGATTCAAACAGAATAGAAAAATTTAATGTATATAATATAAAAAGATACATGTATTTATTAGCAAAGAATTAAAAAAAAACATATAAGGGCCCAATCACACCTCATGTAAAAATACCAAAATCTTACACACAAGGGCCAATGGACTCGACCCGACATGTTTTGGCCTGTATAGGCCTTCTTCAGAGGCCAAACATAATGAGGAACAAGTTGGCTTATATCATAATACAATACAATTACACAGTTATGCAACATGGATACAAAATAGACCAGAAAAGAATTGCTGTGAAAATTTTTTTAAAACGTCTCTAAAATTGGATTCAGACCATAGAGTTTTACCCCAAAAGCAGAATGTTGACAATGCGATGATGTCACTTCCACATGATGTCATCTCATTGGGAATGTCACTGTGCAATGTTACTGTTTAGGGTGGGGCTTCCCCTGCTATTCAGCTGGCCGGTGGCGGGCAGAAGCTGCCAAAATCGGGGGAACCCCCAACCAGACCAGGGGTCTGGGAGCCCTAGCTTGTGTGTTGTGGATAGAAGAGCTAAAATTCAGGGATAAAGTACAGGTGGTTTATACATGGTGGCTTTCCAGGAAACTTGTACTAATTTTCCTGCAGTCTGGATTCTGAATATGGCAGCCCTGTCTGTTTCCTAATGATAGCGGAGGTTGCTAAATTATATGCTCCTTCTGGTATTCATTATGCATTAAATCAGAGTCTCTGATTGTTTCTGGCAACAAAGATGTAATTACATTTTAAAGGCATTAATAGTTTTAAGTATATGTCTTATTATTAGTCTGTTTTGTAAAAGTTTTCTAGAATTTCTGGCTATACATTTCATGTGTTCTAAAAAGACCAATCGTCATCTGAATAGAGAGACAAATAGTGATGATTGTTCCTGTTTTTACTAACTCTCATAATGCATGTTGACAGGCTTTTCTTGCATGTGATCCATGAGACTTGACATTAAGAAATGAACTTGAAAACAAAGCCAACTGTTTTATTATATTAATGAAAATTACTGTGAAGAGATAGCATAATTAAGCCATCTGGATTCTGTATATCCCAGTACACGTTTTATTATGCATGATTCATTCTTTGACTTGTTTGCTGAATTCGTTTTCAGTTTCTCACACTCCTGTTTCATATCTCATTTTCAGTATTTCCTACATATGTCTTTCAAAATCTGATAATTGTTGTCTACATCATTTTTTATGCCCCCCGTAGGGGATTTTTTATTGCATTTTTAATAAACTACAACGAAATTAGGGAGGGGATCTACAAACTATAGGAGAAAGTAAAGACAACCCACTAAAAACCCAAGAGATGGTGGTCATACATACTGCTTAACAAGTTAGCTTTTAACTCAACATTTGATTCCAATTCATTGAATGTGGTCATCTGATAATCTATTAATACTTAAGTAAAAATTTAAACACCACCGTATCTGACTTCTTAAAGAATGATAAAAGAATTACTTATAACAAAACATTGTAAGAGATTTCAGAGTGCAATAACATCTCATTTTTTATACTTTTTCTTTCTCAAGTCTTTGGGGCTGCCGTCCCCAGTTTAGAGCCTGAGTTCTCATCTGAAGATGCCACTGCTTCCTCTTCTTCACTTTCTTTAGTGCTGCCTTCTTCCTCCTTTTTCTCCTGCTGGGCGACTATGTTGATGCAGAAATTCATGTGCCTTTTCAACAGAGTCGATTTTTTCTTTCTTGTCCATAAATTTGAAGATTGTGCCTTCGGGTACAATCCATCTGTAGGGGATGTTGTTCTTCTGTAGCAATAAAACCCAGCCTCTGTATTTTCTTCTTTTCCTTCTTATTTCAAATGGGATGTCCTTCAACACTTTTATTTCTTTTCCTTGACTTTCAAGGTAGTTCCATTTGTCGCTTTGAGAATTTTATCTCTCACTTGTCTTCTGAAGAATCTTATAATAACTTCCCCTGGCAGATTATTCTTTCTTGTAAAATCTGAATACGACCTATAGATCGTATCAATTTCACTTTGAAGTATGTCTGCTTTTATATATGTCATAGGACCTAAAGCCTCACTCATAATCTGCTTCAGATTCTCCCCCTTCTCTTCCGGAACACCTTGAAATCTTAGAACATAGCTTGCTCTTTCCATTTCTACCTGTAACAAATGAGACTCCTCCGTTTGTCTCTTTTTCTCCATCACCTGCAGTTGTTTTTTAAGCTTCTTGGTGTTGGCATCCACTTCTTTCAGTTCTTGCTCAGTTTTATCTGGTTTTTTTAGCTATCTCAGTTAGTTGGGTTTGCTGTGTGTCGAACATGTGGTGCAATGTCGTGACTTGTTCCAGCAGAGGGTGCAAAGCTTCAGTCAACATCTTTTGCAGCTCTGTAGTTGTGTCCTGTCTAGGCACAGAACTCGCTGGGCTGGCAGTTCTGGCAAAAAGCTTAGGTTTCACTTGCTTGTCTTTCTCATCCTTCCTCGTGGGCACCATGTTTGGGAATTGTTTACTTTTTATAAAAGTTATTGCAGTCTCTGGTACTCTTAAATCCACCTGGCAAGTTCTTAAATGCTCTTTATTTCAATCCGTCTTGCTTCATTAGCCCACCCCCCTTTTCGTAGTAGCTCAAAGTTCACTTAGTTTTTCTTAGTGGGGGAGAGTTCCCTCCTCCCCCTCACTTTCAAAGGGGAGGTTTTTGGCTAGTTCTTTGGTGTTTCTCGCTTAGACATTAACTCACATTTCAACGATAAGTCCGCTTTTGTTTTCAATTTGTCTGGCCACCAAATGCTTGCTCTGGTGTGCGATTTCTAGTTCCCATTTGGGACGCTCTGCAGTGGGACCTTCGTGGCATGGAATAGCCCCCCTTTGCCGCCAGGGTCGCTGGGGGAAGGGCTCTCTAACACCCCATGGCTGGGAGCCCAACATAAGGGCTCTGGGGGTGGCGTGCACAGTCGTGCCCCCTCCCATCCGCAGGCTCTGACGGCCATCTCCCGGAGCTGTGGGAGAAAGCGACTGCCATGTCGAATGCTGAAATCTGGAAGCCCTTGTCTACATCATTGACAATAATAGTCACTTGCAGTAAAACTTTCTGTAATAGTTAGATCAAGTCTGTCAGTCTGTCTGTAGCAGTAGAAAAGAGCAAGAGTCCAGTAGCACCTTAAAAACAAAAAGACTAACAAAATTTATGGCAGGGGATGAGCTTTTGTGACTTACAAAAGCTCATTCCCTGCCACAAATTTTGTTAGTCTTTAAGGTGCTACTGGTGGACTCTTGCTCTTTTGTACTGTAACAGCTAAGTGGCTGAATGTATCATAAGATATTAACAGTGAAATACTAAAAGCTGGTAGGGTGCAGTTGTTAAAGTACTTATTTCTAGAACACAGCCAATTATTTCTCTTTAGCTGCTTTAGAATGAGCAGTCATAGGGATGCCAGCCTCCAGGTGGGACCTGGGGATCCCCTGGAATAACATCTTATCTCTAGACTACAGAGATCAGTTCCCCTGGAGAAAATGGATGCTTTGGAGAGTGGACTCCGTGGCAGTGTACCACACTGAGGCCCCTGTCCTCCCCAGGCTCCATCCCAAGATCTCCAGGAATTTCCCAAAATAGATCTGGCAACCTTTTCCCCCATCCCCCGCCAGGGTGGACCTGACAATCCCAAACAGTTGGAAGATTCCAGTTTTGTGGGAACTGTACTCCAGTAATAAAAAACTCGGCTTTCATCTACCAAATATGTTGTCAGATGGACCATAAGACCTTTACATTCTTCTTTCTCTTTTCCCTGTGCAAGAAGAAGGAAGGGGATGGTTGAATGGAGAGGAGCTGTGTGGGGGTATTGGATGACATAGTGGGTTTTTTTGGAGAGAGCTTATTTTAAGGGCATTTGTATTCAATCACAATTTTTTCATCCTTTAATTCTTCTCAAAACAGTGTGTTCCCCATTGTTTTTATAATAAGATATTGTTTTACAGTGTAACTAAAGTTATTTTATGAGTTTGATCATACTGAAGCTATTACTTGAGTAGTTTCCAGTTATATTTCCAGTATATTTACCCCCTAGCATTCTTTATATTCCATTATGTTCACAAAGGTAATATTTTCCTACACATTAGGCACTGAATCAACACTTCAATGCCAATTCAGTAATTCTATTGCCTTTGTAAGACTCCTGCATCTGTCATACCCAAAGGAAACCTCTTCTGATTTCAACAGACGTGCTATTGAAATCTATAAAACAGGTCTTTTAAAAAGAGAATAATATAGGCCATATGATTTCAGATTGTTATTACACTGAAGGAATACTAATGCATTTTAAATAAGCTTCAAAGCAATATAAGAATTTTAAGTAAGTCATAGCCAATAATGTTGGATGTTCTTGAGTTTAGTTTTAGTAAATTTTAGCATAACGTCCTTCTTTCTTTGCTCTTTTAACTCTTTTAAAGCTCATAAAACATGAAAAGCCCATTTTACCACAAAGCATCAGAATGTTCTGATAATGAAAGGCTGGCTCCAGAGGAGTTCTTGCACAGACAGGCTTCCCCCTTTTCTAGAGAGGTTCCTGATATCCTTGTATTCCATCTTCACCTGCCCTCTTCTCTAGAATGCTACACCCTGCACAGCTCCTGAGCATTCTTTGACCCTCAGAGGGGACTTTTAGGAGGGTACAGCTCCTGCAATAGGAAGGAGATGACACGAAAGCCCTGCTGCATGAACAGTTATTTTTGCTGTGCCCTATATATGTCTTTAAATGATTGGAAGTGTTTGTGTGTGTGCTGCTTTTTAATTTATTTTTCAACTAGTGCTTTATGAGTTTTTATGCATTATAGTTCAATAGCAAAATAAAATGGAGCTATTAAGGAGTCAGGACCGTCAAAAATAAAATTTACATAGGAATGGAGTGGGATCAGCATTTTGGTTCTTCTCTTCTGGTAGCACAAATGTATTTCAGTACTCATCAGATTCCTTTTTGTATTTCAGGAACAGCTTCTGTGGCTGTTGCAGGTCTGCTCGCCGCTATTCGCATCACTGGCAACAAACTGTCAGATCAGAAAATATTGTTCCAGGGAGCAGGAGAGGTAAAGCATTCAAATATGTCTATTACGAAATCACTTTCTTTCTTCTTATTTTATTTTTGAACAAAGATAAGTATTTGGCCAATATGTGAAAGCCGAATTACACTGTCTTTAAATTTCCTTATGTATGAACCTCTGATAAACTGTTCTTTTGTTGATTATTTCCCCACCTTTTCTCCAAGGAGCTCTGATTATGGGTATTGCTGTTCCACTGTTGGGATTGAAAATAAAAAAGCACTAGGCTGGGAGAGAGTGACTGGTCAACCAGTAAACTTTATGGCCCAAGTGGGAATTCAAATTCCAAAGTTCTTGTTCATGACTAGCACTTTGTAAACACTCTGCCGTAAATGGCTATCCAGTAGCAAATCTTTATTTTCATAAAAATTAATTTTAATATTTAAATAAATGACTTCAGTTTACATTTTTAAGTATCTCTACTTGAGCTCTTGCTGTTTCATATACATTTTACACTGTATTCCTGTGTAACTTCCCTTTACCACCATAAAATTTCACATGAGCCTAAAATACATGTGGGAAGAACGGTAATTAATGTAATTATTTCTTCATATAAGCTGAGAACAAATCAAAAGGTATGGGGCGCTCATTGGGCATGATTGACTTGCACTGTAGAGGGCAGAAGTTCACACTTACAAAGTAAAGAAAACCTTGTTTTCCTGCCATCCCCTGCCTAGGCATGGGATACAAGGGGGGAATGGGGGACTTTTTTGAAGCCATTCTCTCTGTCACACAGTATAAAAATTTAGTTGGAGTAAGACAGAAGAGAGGAACTCTGAATTGTACAACTGTTTGCATATAACACTGTTGGGAAGATCCTAGGAACCGTGCTGATAAAATCCCTGTGCAAACATCCCCACTTTCATGTTATTCTAGCCTTTTCTATACAATATTATAAGTAATCAATAATATTAGTTTGTTATTTGTAATCATTTGTAATTGTGGTCAATACACAAATTTTATAGGATGGTTTTACCCTAATGGCAACTGTTTAATATTTTATGCCAATAAAAGGTATTTGTTTGTTAAATTGTGGTCAATTGATATCAAAAGGGGTTGGAGCATAAACCTTATTATTTGACCTGTTTATATACTCATTATTTCCTCCCCTTCTCATTAAGGCAGCTCTGGGGATAGCCAATCTTGCTATTATGGCTATGGAAAAGGAAGGGACACCGAAAGAGGAAGCCATAAAAAAGATATGGATGGTGGATTCTAAAGGATTAATAGTAAAGGTAATGCAGATTTATCCTTACTATAACAATACACATTTAAAGTGTTTTGTTTATTGTGTGCAGCAAAGGACTGAAGCAAAATATATTAGTTGCAGTCTTGCATCCAGTTACATGTGCATAGGACACATGTCTTCCTTTTTTATAATACTTAGATGTGTAAAATTTGGATACCAGTAAAGCTGTCATTGGAACTGGTGACTGCTGGCAGTGGAATGATTGTAAATAGTTAATTCCCTTTAGGAATTATGGTCCTGTTGGATAAATTCACTGCTTGTACTTTTTGCATTATCTGGACTTTTTTTTTTTAAAAAAATGTTCTTTAAAATGAATAATAATGACAGAGTGAGATGAGATGGTAGAAGATGTGCTGTTTTGTATGCTTTGGTCCATAGGATAATATAGGATAAACAAACAATAGTCAAGATGGTGGCCAGTGTGGAGTATGGACTCTGAGCTCCGCCGAGTTATAGTAGTTTACTTCTGTCAGCAAGCTGCCATTATGTTTCTATGACCTCTGTGTACATATCCTTCCCCTGTTGCACCCGGCTTGTTATTCTGCTTCTATGCTGGAATGCCTAAGATAATCTACTGGAGGGTTTGTGGAGGAGAGGATGCTGTAATGCTTGCCACTGATTATCGCTTGGGAACTGCACCTGTGTTTTGTCTGATGTTCTGCCTGGTTCTCATGGACTGGGCGCGCAACCGTTTCTTTAGCCCGCCAGCGGGAATGTTATTCATTGGATCTGTGTCTGTTTGAATTTCCTTTATTATGCTTGCCCTACCTGTGTATCCCCAGTTCTAACAAAGAACGTGTTTGAGTGTCTTTCCAACGCTTTGAAATAAATTTTGCTTTTCTTGAAAACGTGGATTTATTCTCGATGCTTGGGGAGCCAACATATTGTTAGAACTCTCTTTCTCCTATCGTTCCGAATCTGGCAAGATCATGAGCGGGACTGAGGGAGATCTACTTAAAACGGAGGGGGACTCGGGATCGGTCCCACCTACCTCCGCTCCTTTGGTGTCTACGACTGCAGCCTCGCTGGAGGGTGCCGTGGGGGGAACGTTTCCCCGCTTACCTGCGCACCTGTCTTGGCCGCCTCCAACCCCTTCGCATTGGGGCCCGCGGAAGACCCAGGCGCAGGATGATTGGGCTTTGTATAACACACAAGGCACCCGGGAAGTGTACTCCCGTCGAGGTAGCGGACTTCGAGAGAGCCTATTTGACAAAGGTTTGTTCCCGGAGCCGGGAAGTTCGGGCGAGACGGGGAGTTCCAGACGAGACCTCGAAGACTGGATGTACGAACCGTTGGGTGAGGGAGCCGGTGCTGGCCTCCAGGGGTCTGAAGACTATGA